TCTATTCAACGATATACTTTTCATAATTATTTGTAATACTTTTTCCGACATCATATTTTTGGGTGGTTGACTTTGACAGAGTAAAAATTGATTCAGCTGACTTTTATTCAAAAGGTTCTCATATTTAATTCATATTAATTATTATCATGATTTATTTCAATAAATCATTTTAAAGTCCCCGTAAATAATTTATTTATTCATTCTTGATTTGGGTCTGTACTCAGGTTTCTAATCAAGACCACACAAATACTCAACATATTGGATTTATCTCTATGAGATTTATCCAGATTGTGATATTGGATATCAAACATATGTCCTTTTGGCCTAAAGCCCAACAACAATTAATTTTAATCAAAACAAATTTGATTAATTTGAATAATTATCTATTAATAATTACAGGGTATGTTTTGGGGCGTTACAATAGGTATATAAAGTGATACCATTACATTTATTTCTACCTATATTATACTACACTTGTGCAAATAAGGATCGGGGCCGGATCTGGGCCGGGTTGGATACAAATTATTAGCCCATTTACATGGGCGGATCTAGCCCGGCCCGCATTTGATGGGCTAAACTTTTTACCCATACCCGCCCACCTTAGTGGGCCGAACTACCCCCGGGCCGCCCGGCCCGGATAAAACACCAAGAAAACTTTTTTTGTACAAAATATTCAAAAAAACATTGTACTCTTTTTTCAATGTTTAAAATAAAATCACCACTCGCCAAATTTAAAGAGAAAGGATAACACAGGTATTGTTGCATAATTAATAAACCCATCATACTAATTCATTAAAATAATATTGATTTTTGTTTAAGAGTGGTGAGTGAATTGAACTATTATACATGAGCTATAACAATTTTTCTAAATTATATTGGCTAGATAATTAATAATAAAGTAAACATTTTTGATTAATATGGGCGGGCCTGTTGGGCCGGATGGGCTAAAAGTAACTTCCAGATCCACCCAAATACAATTCAGGCTCAGGCTGGCCGCCCATGTGGGTATTAAAGGTTGTCCATATCTGCCCTTTTTAAAGGGCGGGCTGGGCGGGCCAAACGGGCCGACCCTTGTTTGCACTGGTCTATATTATACGCTAGTTTGGTGTTTCAACTTCGTTCTTGAGTACCGAATCACAATGGATTCCTATTGCACCTGAAACACTTAAACAAACGTCAGCTCATATATTGTGTGTTAACATCAAAACTCGAGATTTAGCAAACCAAGGCTAATAATCTCCCCATTTTTTATGCTGACAAAGAATATACTTCAAAGTGAGTTAGGCATGAGCAAAAATAATGAAGCAAGCAAGCACCCCCCTCAAAATGAGCATATTTAAAATACTCATTTCGAACTTTTCTTATGTTTTATTAAAAATCTAAGTTTGATGCAAATAATCACACAAGAATGCTATCAAGTTAAGCTGAATATGCACCACTTTGAAATATACATTTTCTCCCCCTTTTGTCAAAATAAAAAAGGCAATTAGAAGAATTTAAACATTTATAACTTCTTGAAACCCTCCTCCTGTCAAAGTGAATTTTCAAGAAAACTGGAGATAATTGGGTAAACGGTGCATTTACAACAAATTCCCCCTGAAATAAAAACTCTTCCTTAATTAATGTAAGTTTTAAAACTTATTTTTTTAGTGAATTTTGTGGATTTAAAACATGATTAAAAATAAATTTTGAAAGATTATTTAATAATGCAAATCAAAGCTAAAAAAATTGGAGCACATATGGGATGAGGTTTTAATTTTGAAAACAAGTATAAGAAAATTCTTGTCCCAATGAGTATGTAGTTATTCACCTTGGCTTATGCCATTCTTACTTTGTCTTGGAAAGCTTTATGAATTTTTCTTTCCTCTTAAAGTGTTCATACTTCTTCCATTTGAGGAAATCTTTATATTTTGTTCTCATAGCCTCCTCCTCTTCATCATCGTCATCACTTGACTCGTAGCTTGAGTCACTAGATGTCTCATTCATTTCACTTGACCCTTCACTTGAGGCACTCGAGTCATCACTAGACTCCTTGGATGCTTTGACCGTTTTATTAAGTTTTGGATTTGTACGCATTTCTTCTTCTTGAATCTTAATCATCTAAAGTTCATCAGTGGCTTCTTGTAATTCCCATTTTGCATATACTAACCCTTGCAAATTCATCCAGGCCAAGGGCACAATGGATGGTATTTATTGCATTTGCATTCATGGACAATTTCCTTTTATCCGCCGAAGATAATCCTGCAAATCACCAATACTCGGCACAAATGGCCCGTGAAGTATATTACACCATAAATCAAAATCAATGGATTGTATAAAGTATTCCATCCGCATTTTCCAATATGAATAGTTTTGGCCATTGAAAAACGGAGGGCGGTGAATACTTTGGGAATCTATTGAGGCCATTTTCCAAATTTTGAATTTTAAAAATCATAGATAATAAAATATTGAAATTTTAAATTCAATTTAAAATGGGCGCAAGTAGATCTTTGTTGTAGATGCGGTTAAGCACTTTAAACTACGAAACCGCTTTGATACCACTTGTTAGTCTATGTGCTCATGCCTTAGATGGGGTAAATAAGGCATTTAAATATTTTTGGGATTTAATAAAATCGGGGTTGGCAAATGCCAAAGATATGTAAAAATGTAGAAAAATTAAAAGCATAAACTAAAGACACACTACTTTTAGACTGGTTCGAGAACTCCCTACTCCAGTACCTTGAGGCTCTTTCTTAAGTATTTCCAAATCGACTTAGTACCGGTCTCTAGAACTCTGTCAAAGTACTGCACTAGTTTGGCAAACAACCCTTGCCAATAGGATTTAACCTCGAGATTTCACCGTGGCTATCTCCAATTGCTTAAAATGAAGATTTCACAATAACAATAACAATAACAATATCAATAACAACAACAACAACAAGAACAATAACAATAACATTAACAATAACAGTAACAGTAAAAATAACAGTTACAGTAACAGTAATAGTAATAATAGTAGCAGTAATAGTAGTAGTAGTAGTAATAATAATAATAATCTCTATATATACAATGGTAGGAGGCTAAGTGGACATGAGCTTCTGCAATTCGGCTCTCCATTGGGAAATAATCTTGGGATCCATTTCTTTAACATATTTTACCATGCAAAAGTAAATGCACCGTGTTAAATGTATAGCGTTTGTCCAATCAGCATTTAATGCATGTCAAGTAGGTAAATAGTATAAATCTTCTTTTCTATATATGTCAAGTCACCAATTAATGCATTGATTCTGCATATCTTTGCTTTGTACTCTCATATTAAGTAGTGTGTTCCATAAATTATTTCTAACACCATATTTAAACATTCATATAGCCACTCTTGGACAGCATCACCATCTCCATATACACAAAATATCTCTTTGCCATCCCACAAAAAAATGGGTATGTGGAACACCCTTAATGATATCGACAACAGTCGTACCCTTTGGATTCTAAAGTTACGTGCGGTTTGTATTTATTTTGTTCCGACTTGAGCAAAGGGAGGTGATTCCATGGAAATTATTTTCCACAACGAACATGTATACAATAATTAAAAACTTTTCTTCGTTGCAATTGTTGTATTGTTGATTGTTGAGTCCACTTTTCTTTTAAGCTGACATTCGATTTTTCTACATTCTTCATAGGAGACGAGGATATATGCACATCCTAAGAAACTGGAAAAGAAGTGTTTTGAATTGGAAACGTCTTTGTGCATGATAATCACCTTACATGCACGACAACCACTCATTCTTCTTTGTTGGTATTCTACGCCAAGACCCATGTGAAAACATTGAATGAAGACGATTCTCCGAAAACATTGGTACTCTGTGTTTATTAAAAATATTAAGACCCAATTGAGGAAAATTGTATTTAAAAAATTTAAAGAGCAACAAAGACTTTTATTCGATTATATTGTTTATATATATATATATATATATATATATATGTATGTATGTATATATTACGCTATATAGTAGAAAATTATATAGCCAATAAGGGGAAATTATAATAGAAAAATAAAAAATTAATACACAATGTTTATTTGCATCGGTTAAGTTTCTAAATTTAGTCTAAAAAATATTGTACTTTTTTACGAAACAATTTTTTAAAAAATTACATTTAAATAAATTTGTTATTAGTAATAATATTAGTATTTTAGTTAAGTCATGAGAATATGGCAGGATCTGATTTGGCCATTAATATGGGTGATTTAGGCATTAATATGGGAGATATAGTTTCCTTATATTAGCACCCTTCTTATGTATATATATATAGTCATTTTGTAATATGTAATTATGTATTATGAGGAAAACCTCTGATTATCAGTCACATGGTATCGAAGCCAGTGTGCTCTAGGGTTAGGGTTCATTATTTGTAAAAAGGGGGGGGGGCTTCTGCCATTTTGACGCTGTCTCTAAGGGTGCTCGCCTGACGTCACCGCCACCGTGGGTGGAGTCGCACGTTGCAGGAGAACAATTCTGGAGAATCTCTCCTTTGTTGGAGACCTCACGTCAGATCCACTGTCAAAAATCACTGTCACGGTCGCCTGAGTCATCTAAGCACCTGTGCAGACTCAGTTTGGACATTCAGTGGGTGATTTTTGCTCTGTCTTCCTCTGCCGATCAGGTTTTGTTCAAATTTTAGTCCATTGAAATGGGTGATAAGTCTAGTGTCATCACTGAACTTTTTCCAGTCATGTCAAAAATCACAGAGAGGAAACTTAATTCCTCTAATTATCTGGAATGGGTTACGACTATTAAACTATATCTCCTAAGTACTGACAAGGACGATCATATGACTGATGATCCTCCTAAGGATGCAACTACAAAGAAAGTGTGGTTGAGGGATGATGCTTGACTATTCCTCCAAATCCGGAACTCAATTGATGGGGATGTGCTTGGGTTAGTTGGCCATTGTGAAACAGTTAAAGACTTGATGGAATATTTGGAATTTCTATATTCAGGTAAGGGAAATCTTACTCGTATCTATGACGTATGTAAGGCTTTCTATCGGGCAGACCAGCAGGATCAATCTCTTCAAGCATAATTCATGGACTTCAAGAAGACATATGAAGCCTTAAATTCATTGATGCCCTTCACTCCAGATGTCAAAACTCAGCAACAACAGCGAGAGCAGATGGCAACAATGAGTTTCTTGGCAGGCTTGGCCCCGAGATTTGAGGCTGCCCGAGAAAGGGTCCTTGCAGACTCTGAGGTTCCCACTTTACAGGATGGGTACTCACGGATTCAATGTAGTGAAAGTGTAAAACCCATAGAGCCTTCTGATGGTGCACCCTAGAATGCTCTTATAAGTCAGAGGATGCAAACTGAGTCACCAAAGAAACCATATAAGTCATTCGTTTGTAGTGGCACCCCACAGAATCAAGAGCCCACTGTCATTATTGTCACAAAGAGGGACATTATAAGCGTGATTGTAGGAAACTTCAACGTGTTAATCAAAGGGGACGAGCTGCACACTTTGCCTCGGGTGAAAATTCTAACCCCCCTACTTCAACAGATGAGTATGCCCAATTCCTCTAGTTCAAGGAGCTTCTGCAGCGATCATCTCCTTCTATGACGGCAATTACGAATTCAGGTAACGATAGTGCTTGTCTTTTCTCGTCTTCCTCCAAGTGGGGTATTGATTCCGGAGCCATAGATCATCTGTCAGGTAATCCTAGCGTCTTCTCCACTTTTCAGCCCTACACATCTCATTCCCCTGTTACCCTTGCTGGTGGTTCCACATCTAAGGTCCTTAGGTCAGGCTCGGTTATCCTAACTCCAAATATGCACCTGTCTTCTGTTTTGAGTTTACCCAATTTCTCATTTAATCTGTTGTCTCTTAGTAGACTTACTCGTGATCTTAATTGCTTTGTCACATTCTTTTCTGGCCATTGTGTGTTTCAGGATCTTACGACGAAGAAGATTATTGGTGAAGGACGTGAGATTAATGGCATGTATCTTCTCAACACTTCCATTCCTAAAGCAGCTGCTTGTGTTGGGATTGAGTCACCTCTTGAGATTCATTATCGTCTTGGTCATCCATCCTTGTCCCTGTTAAAGAAAATTTATCCTCAATTTAAACATCTCTCTGTTTTAGAGTGTGAATCATGTCGTTTTGCTAAANCTTAAAATTATGCGTGGTGATAATGCTAAAGAATATCTTTCCAGCCCCTTCCAAGCCTACATGCGTGACCGTGGCATTCTCCACCAAACTTCGTGTGTGGATACTCCAGCCCAAAATGGAGTAGCTGAACGCAAAAATCGACATCTGCTTGAAACTGCACGGGCACTCTTGTTTCAATCAAAAGTGTCCAAGATGTTTTGGGCTGATGCCGTTGCCACGGCATGTTTCTTGATTACTCGCCTTCCATCGAGTGTCCTTGGTGGCCAGCCACCATTTCATATTGTCTTCCCTGATAAACCTATTTTTCCAGTCCCACCAAAGATCTTTGGGTGTGCATGTTTTGTAAGGGATGTTCGTCCATCTGTCACTAAGCTAGATCCAAAATCCTTGAAGTGCATCTTTTTGGGGTATTCCCGGGTTCAAAAGGGATATCGTTGTTACTGTCCTAGTCTTGGTCGATATCTTGTCTCCATCGATGTGAGTTTCCATGAGCATGTTCCTTTTTCTTCACCTACAATTTCTGTAAATGAGGGCGGGGGTTCTGGTGACATTTTATTTTACACTACCTCTAGTGCTACAATGCCCTCTACTGGTGTGCCTCCCATCATTCAGGTTTACTCCCGCAGGAAAAAACCAGTTGCACCTTCAGTTGTCCCTGAATCTCTTCCTGCCACATTGACTGATCAACCACCTACCCCTACACCAGTCTCAAGCCCTGAGTCAAGCACTTCGTCGTTAGATCCTGATCATGCTGATGATCTACCCATCGCTTTGCGTAAAGGTAAGCGGTCCTTCACCTACCCTGTTTCTAATTGTGTCTCTTATGCTCATTTGTCTTCTACTGCTTGTGCACTCACCTATTCTCTAGATTCTGTCCCTCTTCCTAAAACTGTCAGAGAAGCACTCTCTCATCCTGGATGGCGTACTGCCATGATAGAAGAGATGAAACCCTTGGAGAAAAATCATACTTGGAGTCTAGTTTCATTGCCGATCGGCAAGAAATCTATTGGTTGCAAGTGGGTCTTCTCTATTAAGGTTAATCCAGATGGGTCTGTGGCTCGCCTCAAAGCTCGATTAGTGGCCAAAGGATATGCTCAAACCTATGGTGTGGATTATGATGAGACTTTCTCTCCAGTTGCCAAGCTCACTTCTGTTCGCTTTGTCATCTCTATGGTTGCGTGTCATGATTGGCCGTTGCATCAATTAGATATCAAAAATGTGTTTCTTCATGGTGCTCTTGAGGAAGAGGTTTATATGGAGCAACCTCCAGGTTTTGTTGCTCAGGGGGAGAATGGGAAGGTATGTCGGCTGCATAAATCTTTATACGGACTAAAACAAAGTCCTCGTGCATGGTATGGCAAATTCAGCCAAGTAATCGAGCGGTTCGGAATGGTGAAAAGCCAATCTGATCATTCTGTCTTTTATAAGCGATCTAGGGGTGGAATCATCTTATTGGTTGTTTATGTAGATGACATCATTATTACAGGAAATGATTTTGCAGGAATTTCATCACTCAAGACATTTGTCAATAGTCAGTTTCAATCAAAGGATCTTGGACCGCTGAAGTATTTTCTAGGGGTTGAAGTTTTGCGAAGCAAGAAAGGTATAGTGCTTACACAGAGGAAGTATGTGCTTGATTTATTGTCTGAGATAGGAAAGCTCGCATCCAAACCATGTAATACACCTATGGTTCCTAACATGCAATTAACGAAAGACGGTGAATCATTCAGTGATCCAGAGAGGTACAGGAGATTAGTGGGTAAACTGAACTACTTGGTTGTGACCCGCCCAGACATTGCTTATCCTGTTAGCGTGGTAAGTTAGTTTATGGCATCCCCAACAATTGATCATTGGGCTGCAGTGGAACATATTCTGTGTTACTTGAAAGGAACTCCCGGTCGTGGTATTGTCTATTCAAATCACGGTCACATGAACATTGAAAGTTATGCAGATGCAGATTATGCAGGGTCGAAGGATGATCGTAGGTCCACCTCCGGTTATTGTGTCTTTGTGGCTGGGAATCTGATTTCGTGGAAGAGCAAGAAGCAGAACGTTGTCTCTCGTTCTAGTGCTGAGTCTGAATATAGAGCCATGGCACAAGCTGCGTGTGAAATAATATGGATATATCACCTCCTCAATGAAACTGGTTTCAAAGCTTCCATCCCTGCGAAACTATGGTGTGATAACCAAGTTGCTCTTCATATTGCATCCAAACCAGTTTTTCACAGAAGGACGAAACATATTGAAGTAGATTGTCACTTTGTTCGGGAGAAAATACAGAACGGATTGATTTCTACTGGATTTGTGAAGACAGGAGATCAATTAGCAGATCTCCTTACTAAAGCGCTAAATGGCACCAGGCTTATGTATTTATGTAACAAGTTGGGCATGATAAATATATTTGCTCCAACTTGAGGGGGAGTGTTATTAGTAATAATATTAGTATTTTAGTTAAGTCCTGAGAATATGGCAGGATCTGATTTGGCCATTAATATGGGTGATTTAGGCATTAATATGGGAGATATAGTTTCCTTATATTAGCACCCTTCTTATGTATATATATAGTCATTTTGTAATATGTAATTCTGTATTATATGGAAAACCTCTGATTATTAGTCACAAAATTTAAAACCATTATGAATATACTTATTTATTTTATCTTTAATGAAATCATTAGAGTGTATAAAACCAATCTTTCATATAAAAGTTTTATTTGAAAAGGAGTGAAAGTAAAACCATCTTCTACTCTTTATTACCCTTAACCGGTCAAATCAAATGTCATTCTCTAAAGTATAAAAAAGAGTGAAAATTAATGGCCTTGAGAGTCACAAAAATCATCCCATTTAATACACTTACTTTTTACTCTTTCAATAAAGTAAAAAAATCTTGCCAGGCCTGACTAAAGGACCTAGAGCCACTCACCTATACTAACTCTATGATTTGATTCTGTTAGTTCCATAGTGTTGGCTAATCTTTTGACAAAATAGAATCCCATATTTGTTAGGTGTTTTACTAGGTAGAAACCTCTATTTGTTAGGAGAGGTTTATTTTATTTAGACTTCTAGAGTTGCTGCATTTTTCGAGGTTGACAAAGAAGATGCTACAGCACGGTGCTACAACACACTATTCGGGATCAGAGGTCTAAGCATGGGATTTTAAGCTGCAATCTGAATTAGAGACCTATTGGGATTGTGATTACATGATAATAATTTCAGCTGTACTTGTTAAGGAATCCCATCTCTTAGGCTACTTGTGGATCAAGATTAAGGAAGTTGAGTTCAAGCCAACTTTTACTAACCGATTCCTACTAGGATTGTGTTAAGAGAAGCCTATAAAAACGCAGCAGGTCCCAGTGAATTACTTGGAGCGATTGAGAGGGAAAACAAAGAATATACGCTGATGTAGAGCATGAGGAGGCTTGGGGGAGGTATTTCGAGAGGTGACTTCACTGGCTTCGGCTATGGTTGTGAGAGAGGGGAGGGATGATTGCCGGCGAGAGGAGGAGACGGCGGCAGGAGGGGCTACCGCTGCTGGGGCGGCGGCTCGGGCCGAGAGAGGGAGAGAGGAGGGGAGAGAATTAGGTTTTTGGTATTTTTGACAATCCGAATAAAACTCAAGAACTTGATTTCACAAGCCTCTTATCTTACCACCGAAGTTTTGATTTCACAAAACTCAGGATTTCTTCCACCTAACGTTTGATTTCACAAACCGTTAGGATTTCTACCACTTGGTGTAATCCCAACACCAAGAATACAAATCCCTTACAATAAAGTAAGAAAACAAACCGCAACCGAGTAATTCTCCCAACACGGAGTAGATT